AAAAAAGTAAACAATTTGGAAAACTATTGTACCCTAAAGTCTCGAGTATAAGTTGTGCCTTAATGAAGAGGCCCGGGAGGGATCCATAAGACTGAGCACCGGAGAGGAGCAGGGCGGACGCGCCGAGCCACGCCCGGGGCAACAAATAACAGCATAAAATTGCTATAACCCTCAATAAATTTACTTCTATTATTGTTCTTAAAAAGTTATGCTGCAACGGGGTTCGAACCCTCGACACACCGCACCGGAGGCAGCCGTCAATTTGCATGCGAAAACCAAACAGAACTTATACTCGCGACTTTAGGGTAATCTTTCCGTCGTCTCTATTCGATTAGAAAAATCTGAAGGAAAGATTACAATCTTCTAAATTGTCTACTTGAGGAAAACGTTGATCACGAGCTCATCCAATTGCAGCAACAGCAGCAAGGCAATTGCAGCAGCAGCAGCAAGGCAATTGCAGCAGCAGCAGCAACAGCAAGGCTCATCGAATTACCTATGTCCATGTCCTTCATGTGAGTGATCATTTCCGCCATGTGAATGCCCATGTCCTGCATTGTGTGAATGCGAATGTGAATGGGTGTGTCCTTTCGGTTGAATCTCGGGTACGGGCAACTCTGGGGGAGGCTCAGCGCCCAATTCAGCCGCCGCTCGTTTCGCCGCCACATTGTAGTCCCGAATTAGGTCGAGATGCGCGAGCACGGTGCCTGGAAATGAACAAATCCTCTTTTGTCGATTAAACATCAATATTTAACTGATGTGCGCTCCAGCTTAGCCTTAGAATTCAATAAATTTGCATAATCATGCACGCTAGCTGGTGTACGGTCAAGACAAGTACGCGAGTACGGTGTCTGGAATTGAAAAAGGTCTTTGGGATGTTGAAATTTGACTATTTGACTAGTGTGCGCTCCAGCTTAGCTTTAGAATTCGATAAATTTGCATAATCATGCACGCTAGCTGGTGTACGGTCAAGACAAGTACGCGAGTACGGTGTCTGGAATTGAAAAAGGTCTTTGGGATGTTGAAATTTGACTATTTGACTAGTGTGCGCTCCAGCTTAGCCTTAGAATTCAATAAATTTGCATAATCATGCACGCTAGCTGGTGTACGGTCAAGACAAGTACGCGAGTACGGTGTCTGGAATTGAAAAAGGTCTTTGGAATTTTAAAATTTGACTATTCGACTAGTGTGCGCTCCAGCTTAGCAGTAAAAGTCGATGAAATTGCTTAAAGTTTACAATTCTAGCCTACACTAGCTAGGATAGCTACCGTAGTCGAATTTAGTGCAAAAAAGCTCTTATATTCTTGGAAACTCACCTAAAACCCTTTTCTCTCCGATATCCTTATTGTCCTGGCTGATCACTTTCAACTCGAATTGGCCATCGATCGCTTTTTTAAGGAAACCGGCGAACGGGGAGCGCTGGATCATTCCATCAAGAATAAACCCGCGCTGTCCATCAACTGTCTAAAATGGTTTAAATGTAAATTTATTCATTCTATATTCTAATGTGCGTTCCAGATAAGCCAAAAAAGTTGATAAAACTTCAAAAACAAAAGCTCTGTTTAAAAGAAAACAACGTGATCGAGTTGCTCGAGAGAAAACCATCAAAAAACTGTTTATTTCAATTTTTTTTATATTATTTTATCAATCTGGAAGGCAACTTAGATTTTGAGATCAAAACTTTTCGAAAAAATTCAACTTACAATAGCCTCCATCATGTCCGGTCGATTGCTGAACTTGAAAGCGACAATTTGAACCTCATCGCTTTCTTTGAGTCCATTTAGAAATTGCTCGTGAAAATTTGGCAAAGCTCTGGTGACTTTTGAGGTGAATAGAGGGACTGTAAATCATTTTTTTTAATTAATTTAATAGAAACAAGCATTTACAGTCTACCCAGCCCGGTTCAATTACCCAATTTTCTCAAACAGTAGAAAAGATAATAAAATTTAAATATTTATCTCTTGTGAGCTCCAGATCAGCTAAAAAATTGATTGAAACTCGTAAATAATAAAGTTATTAGAGAGAAATTTCGATGGAAAGAGTTCTACCCCAAAATTTCGCATGGAAGCATTATATCCGATTTTCGCACAGATTTCTAGCCGATCTGGATGTCAACTTAGATTTTGGATATAAAATTTTAAGTCTAGGTCAGAGTTTGTCTGGACAGACAAACTGGACAGACTGGCTATAGTCTACTGTCGTACTGGGTTACCCAATTTTCTCAAACAGTAAAAAAGATAATAAAATTTAAATATTTATCTCTTGTGCGCTCCAGATTAGCTAAAAAATTGATTAAAATGCGTAAATGATGAAGTGATTAGGAAGAAATTTCGATCGAAAGAGTTCTACCCCAAAATTTCCCTTGGAAGCATTATATCCGATTTTCGCACAGATTTCTAGCCGATCTGGATGTCAACTTAGAATTTGGATATAAAATTTTAAGTCTAGGTCAGAGTTTGGTCTGTCCGGCTATAGTCTACTGTCGTACTGGGTTACTGTACTTTAGTCAAACAGTAGAAAAGATAATAAAATTTACATATTTATCTCTTGTGAGCTCCAGATCAGCTAAAAAATTGATTGAAACTCGTAAATAATAAAGTTATTAGAGAGAAATTTCGATGGAAAGAGTTCTACCCCAAAATTTCCCTTGGAAGCATTATATCCGATTTTTGCACAGATTTCTAGTCGATCTGGATGTCAACTTAGAATTTGAATGTAAAATTTTGCTGATTTTACCTGTGCATTTCTCATCAGCACACAATTTCGACGGTTTTGAAGGCACTTTTCCCGGTCCAGCTGACTCGATTGGATAAAGGAAAAGGAGGAAAAATTGGAAATATAAAGTTTTCATCATAGAAACATATCAATTTAGAGAAAATAGGTTAATTTCAAAGTGGCTGACCAACGTGTCGTACACTGGCTGGTTTTCCCCCAAAACCCCGCCTTTTCTCGGGAAAGACTAGGGTACGGTAGAATGGGTGCATTTTTCCATTCAGTTTTTTTTTGGAAAACTGCATTCAAAACTTATCCACTAGTTGCTGTGACTTCCAGAATGAAGATTTCGATTGTCTAAATTTAAAGACACCTTAGCTACAGTAGTTTATAGGCTACCTTTAGGTTACGGTAGAATGGCTGCATTTTTTAGGACTGGAAAACCATCCAAAACTTATCCACTAGTTGCTGTGACTTCCAGAATGATGATTTTGATTGGCCGAATTTAAAATTACCTTGGCTACGGTAGTCTATAGGCTACCTTTAGATTACGGTAGAATGGGTGCATTTTTTAGGACTGGAAAACGTCATTCAAAACTTATCCACTAGTTGCTGTGACTTCCAGAATGAAGACTTCGATTGTCTAAATTTAAGATTACCCTGGCTACACTACAATATGCCTATAGGATACGTTTGGGTTACGGTAGAATGAAGATTTTCGAGGAGTATTCAAAAAAAGTGAAAAGAGATGTATAATAAAGGTTTGGTTCAGCTTTGGTTCATATATAATAAAGATTTGGTTAAGATCCGCGGGAAAACTATCGAAGTTTTACTGGAAAGATCTGTTGTGCCGTAAAGACGATGCTGTAAACACGTAAAGGCATTGCCAGAACTTTTGACGGAGCTACGGCTAGCTAGCATACGGGCTTTGATCTCAATTTAGCTGCTAATCTAGCTGCCATCTAGCTGCGAATCTAGCTACCAATATAGCTGGCAATCTAGCAGCCACTCTAGCTGGCAATCTAGCTGGCAATCTATCTGCCAATCTAACTGTCATCTAGCTACCAATCTAGCTGCTATCTAGCTGCCATCTAGCTACCAATCTAGCTACCAATCTAGCTACCATCTAGCTGCCATCTAGCTACCAATCTAGCTACCAATCTAGCTACCATCTAGCTGCCATCTAGCTACCAATCTAGCTACCAATCTAGCTACCATCTAGCTGCCATCTAGCTACCAATCTAGCTACCAATCTAGCTACCATCTAGCTGCCATCTAGCTACCAATCTAGCTACCAATCTAGCTACCATCTAGCTGCCATCTAGCTACCAATCTAGCTACCAATCTAGCTACCATCTAGCTGCCATCTAGCTACCAATCTAGCTACCAATCTAGCTACCATCTAGCTGCCATCTAGCTACCAATCTAGCTGCCAATCTAGCATTGGTAATCGAACTAAGCCAAGACTTTCTTTGCTTCTTCTGTCTATTGTTTAATACTAAAGTCAAGATAAATGATTTAAATCAATTTCAAAACAATTCTTACAGCTTTATCCATTTCTCTTTCTTTCCAATTCTTTTTTTTTAAAAAATAGCTAATAAACCGATCCATTCACTTGAAAAGCTCAACTAGACTCAACTAGTAAAAAGCTGTCTAAAAGCTGTTTATTTATCTTGTGAGCTCCAGATCAGCTAAAAATTAGTAGCACAAGACGATAGAGTTAGAATACGGTAACTACGAGGCCCAAAGCCGTTTCTTCCATATCCAATTTTTCTCAACTAGTAAAAAGCTGTCTAAAAGTTGCTTATTAATCTCTCGTGAGCTCCAGATCAGCTAAAAATTAGCATCAAAAAGCGATAGAGTTAGAATACGGACACTACAATGCACGAGCTCGTTTCTTCAATATCCAATTTTTCTCAACTAGTAAAAAGCTGTCTAAAAGTTGCTTGTTTATCTTGTGTGCATTCCAGATCAGCTAAAAATTAGTGTCGCAAGGCGATAGAGTTAGAATACGGTAACTAGAAAGCTATTTCTAAAAAAAGCAAAGTAAACCGATCCATTCACTTGAAAAGCTCTTAAAAAGCTCTTAAAAAAGAAGAAAATTCAATTGCTTAATTGGAATTTTTCTCGAAAATCTAGAATTTTCAAGTTATTTCTTTAATAAAATTCGAATGAAATTACAATTTTTTTATTTAATTTTCTTTTTTTCAAAAATTTTTATGGAAAATGTGACAATTGTTGAGGAAAATGATGAAATTGGTAAAAGCTTTTTTTTTCTAATAAACACAATCTTTCTAACTTCGTTTCCATAAGAAAATTAATTGGAATGCACTAGAAACGGTGCGTTTACAAGAGTCTACAAGAGTCTAAAAGAGTCTAAAAGAGTCTACAAGAGTCTACAAGCGTCTACAAGAGTCTACAAGAGTCTACAAGAGTCTACAAGAGTCTACAAGCGTCTACAAGAGTCTACAAGAGTCTACAAGAGTCTACAAGCGTCTACAAGAGTCTAAAAGAGTCTACAAGAGTCTACAAGCGTCTACAAGAGTCTACAAGAGTCTACAAGAGTCTACAAGAGTCTACAAGTGTTTACAAGAGTCTACAAGAGTCTACAAGAGTCTACAAGAGTCTACAAGCGTCTACAAGAGTCTACAAGAGTCTACAAGAGTCTACAAGTGTTTACAAGAGTCTACAAGAGTCTACAAGAGTCTACAAGAGTCTACAAGTGTTTACAAGAGTCTACAAGAGTCTACAAGAGTCTACAAGAGTCTACAAGCGTCTACAAGCGCTCAAACTCTCACACTTGACCAAATATCGATTTTCTTAAAAGAGGGTCAGCTCAGGGGCGCTTTGGTCCCACATTTTTTTGCGGCTTCAGGCCTGTAACCTTGGTTTAACAGGGCTTAACGGGGCTTAACGGGGCTTAAAACAGCTTAGTTGACTTGAATATTTTCGGAATTTTTTTATCCAGTTCCGGTGCCGCTCCACGGCCCTCTGCATCTTTCAAAGATTTGTCCCCAGATCGAAACTCGGCAAACCATACTCGACACGTTCTTTCGGAAGGTCAATCCTCCCCATATATCTTTTTAATATTATCAGCTGCCAAGCCTGCACTGTGCTCTTCTAGCAATTTTCACAAAAAATCAACAATTGAATTTCAAGAGCCAAGATGTTTTTTGAAAACTAGACAATGTGACATTTTTTATATTGAGTGTATCAAGTTTTGGTCAACGATCGATACGGGGTTAGGACTTAGTTTCTCTATACAATTTTCCATCAAAGGAAATCATTGTCACTGTGCCCTGTAGCCGTGCCCTGTAACTGTGCCCTGTACTATGCTCTGTGCTGTGCCCTGTACTGTGTTCTGTACTGTACCCTGTCCTGTACCCTGTACTGTACCCTGTACTATCCCCTGTACTATCCCCTGTATTATGCCCTGTATTATGCCCTGTACTATGCCCTGTACTATGCCTAGTAACTGTGCCCTGTAACTGCCCTGTAACTGCCTGTAACTGTCCTGTAATTACCTGTAACTGTCCTGTAACTACCTGTAACTACCTGTAACTACCTGTAACTCTACGACCAAAGCACCCCTGAGCAAACCCTCTTCTCAATCACTTGTCCTAAACAGCGTTGCACTTCTAAATTAACCAGAGAAATTTTGGAAATCAGTTTTTCGCGAGGAATTCGAATTTTTTACTTTTAAAATCGTATTTTTTATCTAAAATTATCAAAAATGCAGAAAATACAAGTATGGGAATTTTTGGCGCCACCTGTAGCTTCATTAGCAAGTGTGACTTCCAGAAATAGCTTTGGCGCAAAGATTTTTTTTCAAATTTCAGTTGAATACGCGAGTTTTCTGCGTGATCTCGATGAACTCCATGAAGAATTGTTTATTCAAAGAAAATACGATAAAACATTGGCTCCAATCTACACAAAGCAACGTTTGTTATAAGAAATGATTGAAAAATTTGAAAATTTTAGAGAATTTAAGCTACGTTCGTCGCTTTAATGTCGATATTCGATTAAATTTCGCAAAAGTTATCGCAATTGTGAGTGTTTTTCGTTTTCTGTATTCAAAAAAAAGCATCTAATTGTGAGGAAACGGCAGCGAAATCGATTGAGATTGATTTCGATTGAAAATTTGAACACTGACTCACTTAGAAATGAAGTACGTACGCTTTTTAAGAAGCGGCTTAATGAAGGAACGATCTCGTGCATTGTAGCTACCGTATTCTAACTCTATCGCTTTTTCATATTAATTTTTAGCTGATCTGGAGCTCACAGGAGAGCAATAAGCAACTTTTAGACAGCTTTTTCCTAGTTGAGAAAAATTGGAACCGAAGAAACGAGCTCGTGCATTGTAGTCTTCGTATTCTAACTCTATCATTTTTTGATACTAATTTTTATCTGATCTGGAGCTCACAAGAGATAAATAAACAGCTTTTAGACAGCTTTTTACTAGTGGAGAAAAATTGGGTATTGAAGAAACGATCTCGTGCATTGTAGCTACCGTATTCTAACTCTATCGTCTTGCGACACTAATTTTTATCTGATCTGGAATACACACAAGATAAACAAGCAACTTTTAGACAGCTTCTGCTAGTTGAGAAAAATTGGGTATGGAAGAAACGGCTTTGGGCCTCGTAGTTACCGTATTCTAACTCTATCGCTTTTTGATGCTAATTTTTAGCGTATCTGGAGCTCACAAGAGATTAATAAGCAACTTTTAGACAGCTTTTTACTAGTTGAGAAAAATTCGATAATTGAACCGGTGATTCTTTCAGGCAGAAGACACCGAAAAACTTGGCGTGCTTCTCGAGATTATTTATGTAAGTATAGCTTGGGAAATGAAAGAGTTTAAGTTAAATTTTAGGTCTGGGAAGATCCTCGGCTCATCTGGGATCCATCAAAGTTCAATGGAATCAATAAAATTTATGCAAATTACAAAGATTTATGGATTGTTGAAAACTCGATGTCGGAAACGTAAAATTTTGAGTTTTTTCTTAAACGAGAACGCGTTGTGCGTTCCAGATCGTCGATTTTTAACGTCAAAAATTGACAATTTTTAAATGTAAATTGAGTTTTTCGGTTTAAATTCCCAATTCTAAATGCAAATTGCGATTTTTAAAGACAAATTGGGCTTTTAAATGGAAATCACCAACTTTTAAATGTAAATTGGATTTTTCAATGGAAATTGCCACTTTTTAGAGACAAATTTGGCTTTTAATAGCAAATTGTCAATTCTAAATGCAAATTGTCAATTTTAAATGCAAACTGTCAATTTTAAATGCAAATTGTCAATTCTAAATGAAAATTGTCAATTCTAAATGCAAATTCTCAATTTTAAATGCAAATTCTCAATTTTAAATGAAAATTGTCAGTTTTAAATGCAAATTGCAATTTTAAATGCAAATTGCAATTTTTAAATGTAAATTGCAATTTTAAATGCAAATTGTCAATTTTAAATGCAAATTCTCAATTTTAAATGCAAATTCTCAATTTTAAATGCAAATTCTCAATTTTAAATGCAAATTCTCAGTTTTAAATGCAAATTCTCAGTTTTAAATGCAAATTCTCAATTTTAAATGAAAATTGCCAATTTTTAAATGGAAATCGCCAACTTTTAAATGTAAATTGGATTTTTCAATGGAAATTGCCACTTTTTAGAGACAAATTTGGCTTTTAATAGCAAATTGTCAATTCTAAATGCAAATTCTCAATTTTAAATGCAAATTCTCAATTTTAAATGCAAATTCTCAATTTTAAATGCAAATTCTCAGTTTTAAATGCAAATTCTCAGTTTTAAATGCAAATTCTCAATTTTAAATGAAAATTGCCAATTTTTAAATGGAAATCGCCAACTTTTAAATGTAAATTGCCTATTTTTAAATGTAAATTGCCTATTTTTAAATGTAAATTCCGTTTTCAATGGAAATTGCCACTTTTTAGAGACAAATTCGGCTTTTAAATGCAAATTGCTCAATTTTAAATGTAAATTGCCAATTTTTAAAGACAAACTCGCTTTTTAGATGCAAATTTGGTTTTTATGAATCGAAATTACTCGATTTTCAATGCAAATTGCGAACCTTTAAATGTAAATGTCTCTTTCAATGTAAATTCACAATTTTTAAATGCAAATTTTGTTTTTGAAATTTAAATTGCTCAAATTTGAGTTTTTTTCATAAACGAGAACGCGTTGTGCGTTCCAGATCGTCGATTTTTAATTTCAAATTTCGAATTTCAGCGCGATGATTGTCGATTTCGTGGCCGATCACCGAAAACCGGTGAAAGTCTTCGCAAATGGGACCGTTTCGTTTTTGCATAAATTTTATGCGGAAATCATTTGCAAACTAGAGGTAGAAGCCGGTTTTTTTGAGCGTTCTTCGTGTTCTTTTGCAAACACACCCTTTCCGGCGTACTTCAGTTCACCTAAGCATCTCCAGTTCAATTACGCAACTTTGAAAAAAATCTAATGAAAGCTACAGTAAGCTGAACTTATCCATTAGATAATGTGCGCTCCAAAATGAAAATTTTGTTTGAAATGTATAGCAAAATTGATCAAAGTCGATGAGTTTTCTTGGTGAACTCGTTTCGTCAAAGAAATCACTTCCAATTTTGAAGCTAGCCTCTTAAATGAATTCTTTTTCGACAAACTGGATGTCATACTGTAGTTTGATAAAAGAAAAGACGTTGTTTACAGTACTTTTACTATATACGATTTTTACTATGTAGACTGAATATCTTAAATTTTGAGTAGAGTAACTGAAAAGTTGTTTATTAGACAGTGTGACCTCCAGCTTTAGCTTTCCAAAAGTATAAAGCAGTAAAATCCATCAGAAACAGTTTAAAAGGCTATGGTAAAGATCAAAGCCAAATATATCCCTTTCCTACTCAAAAATTCTCCATTAGATAGTGTGACTTCCAGCTCGGTCATTTCCCATTCGACAGTCAGGATTGTCCGATCATTTTAACGGCAATGTCTTACGATTACGATGAGGTGACGATGACGGTCGATGTGACGCCAATCGAGTTGAAATACGCTGTATGAATTTATTTATCAAATAATCGATGAGAAAATCAGAGCTCGGGTCAATGGGACGTTCAAAAGATTTATGGATCCATGGATTACTATAACTATTCGAGTACAAGGTTTGATATTAAAGGAACTGTAAGGTCCGAGCCGGAATCGAACTCGAACCCCGCAGCTTTAGCTCGTTAGTCAACATTGTTAACCACTCAGCCAAAAAGGCCAAAAGAAAACGCGCAAAATGGCGGGTTTTTCAATGGAAATTGCCAATTTTTAAAGAAAAATCGCGTTTTTAAATGCAAATTGACAGTTGTTAAATGTAAATTGCATTTTTAAATGTAAATTCCCCATTTTTAAATGCAAATTCCCAATTTTCGAAGACAAATCGGGTCTTTAAATGGAAATCGCCACGTTTTAAATGTAAATTCCTTTTTCAATGTAATGTGCCAATTTTCATATGTAAATTGGGTTTTTCAATGGAAATTGCGATTTTTTAAAGAAAACATCACTTTTTAAATGGAAATTGCGAATTTTTAAATGGAAATTGCGATCTTTAAAGATAAATTGGGTTTTTCAATGGAAATTGCCAATTTTTGACGGCAAATCGGGCTTTTAAATGGAAATTGACGATTTTTCAATGGAAATGCCCAATTTTTCAATCGAAATGCCCAATTTTTCAAGACAAATCGGATCTTTAAATGCAAATTCCCGATTTTTATAGGTAAATTACGTTTTTCAATGTAAATTAGAAGTTTTTAACGACAAATCGGGTCTTTGAATGCGAATTGACGAGTTTTGCAATGTAAATTGACGATTTTTCAATGCGAATTGACGATTTTCAAAGGCGAATTGGGTTTTTAAATGGAAATTTGGCTTTTTAAAATGTAAATTCGGTTTTTTAGGGGCAATGTGAGTCGATTTTAAATTTAAATGCCAATTCATTGACTTTACAGTAGGTTTTGGAGAGCAAAATTGTTTGCAAGATGATATTTCTAGCTTCGAACAGTCGACTTTCCATATCTACATGAAGCGGCAACCGTTATTCTACATCCACGTCATCGTTGTCCCATCTTTAATCATCACCGTACTCTCGGTTGGCGGCATTTTCTGGACCTCAGGCCAAGAGTATCAGAATTCGAAGATGGACAAGGTCAGCTATTTCGAAGGATTACGGTAGATGGGCTATAGAATGATTGGATTACGGTAGATCCATATGATAGCTAGGGTTACGGTAGATCCGTCTGATACCTAGGGTTACGGTAGATCCATTCAATGCACACTTTAGCTAGGCATCGGTTTAACCTCGTTGATGTCGATGACGGTCTTGCTCGGCATCGTCGCCTCAGAGATCCCGAAAACGAACAGCTTTCCATTATTGGGTAAGCGCAAACACAAGAATGTAGGGTTAAACCAGGCCGAGCCCCCTACAACCTATAAGCCAATCCAAACTTATCCATTAGATAATGTGCACTCCAAAATGAAAATTTTGTTTAACATGTTTAGCAAAATTGATCAAAGTCGATGAGTTTTCTAGGTGAACTCGTTTCGTCAAAGAAATCACTTCCAATTTTGAAGCTAGCCTCTTAAATGAATTCTTTTTCTACAAACTGGATGTCATACTGTAGTTTGATAAAAGAAAAGACGTTGTTTACAGTACTTTTACTATATACGATTTTTACTATGTAGACTGAATATCTTAAATTTTGAGTAGAGTAGATGAAAAATTGTTTATTAAATAGTGTGACTTCCAGTTCGGTCATTTCCCATTCGACAGTCAGGATTGTTCTCAAAAAAACTGATCATTTTGCATACTACCGTACCCCGAATCGAGTTCAAGGCCTTAAAGTGTCAATTCGATCCTAAAAATGCAACTATTTTCAAATCTTTTGTCAATCTGGAGCGCACGGCATTCAATTAACGGATTACTGTACCCTCATAGGTACTGTTTTCTAAAAAGTGCTCCTTGGTGGATAAACTACCGTACCCCGAATCGAGTTCAAGGCCTTAAAGTGTCAATTTTGTCGTAAATTTGCGAATTTTGTTATATTTTTCGTTGATCTGGAGAGCACACTAGAATTCTAAAGTGTAAAACACTGATGATCTTGCAGATGAAAATATCGAGCTTTGTCCCAGTGGTACGGTAGCTTGGAGCATGCTTTAAGAAGGTTTAAACAGCCTCAAAACTTGTTTATTAGACAGTGTGACTTCCAGCTTCAGCTTTCCAAAAGTATAAAGCAGTAAAATCGATCAGAAACAGTTTAAAAGGCTATGGTAAAGATCAAAGCCAAATATATCCCTTTCCTAGGCACTTACATGGTCGTTTCCCTCTTCGACATCGGATTGGCTTGTGTTGTTTTAATGCTAATGCCTGCTTCGAAAGAAATCGCCGACAATAAGAAAAAGATTCGATTTAGAGAGTGAGTGAAAGAGAAAATTTTTGATTTCAGACAAATCTTATATGCAAATTTCTAGTAAAATTTGCGCTTTTATTTTCAATCGCACTTTTGCTCTTCATCTCCTCTTCCAAACGGTCAACTTTCTGAATTTTGGCGTTTTCATGTCGTTTTGGAAATAAACAATGATTGTTCTTTAAAATTTGTCTTGCTGCGGCCCGCCCAGGCCACCACAAAAAGAGTGCAAAGCTCCAGATCGCTCCTAACAACATAAGAGACAATTATTTCTAGATTTTCTTTAAATCTGGAGCACACAACAAAAGATTTATAGACTAACGTACCCCAAACCATCTACCGTATCCCAGAACGAGTACAAAGCTCCAGATCGCTCCTAGCAACATCGAAGACAATTATTTCTAGATTTTCTTTAAATCTGGAGCGCACAACACAATTCCATAGCTTAACATGCCTCAAAAGACTTATAGACTACCGTATCCATCACCTACAGTACCCCAGAACGAGTACGAGGCTCCAGATCGCTCCTAGCAACACAAAAGCCAAATATTTCTAGATTTTCTTTAAATCTGGAGCGCACAACAAAAGATTTATAGGCTACCGTACCCCAAACCATCTACAGTATCCCAGAACGAGTACAAAGCTCCAGATCACTCCTAACAACATAAGAGACAAATATTTCTATATTTTCTTTAAATCTGGAGCACACAACACAATTCCATAGCTTAACATGTCTCAAAAGACTTATAGAAAACCGTATTCATCACCTACAGTACCCCAGAACGAGTACAAGGCTCCAGATCACTCCTAGCAACATCAAAGACAATTATTTCTAGATTTTCTCTAAATCTGGAGCACACAACCCAATTCCCATCGCTTAAAATGCCTCAAAACTGCTTTCATCGTTAACTCGTTAACTTGAAGTTCTTTCTAAATGTTATGCGCATGTGGGCGGTATAAAATAACAAATACTCGAGGAAAAAACAAAAAAAAACCCTACTTGGCACTAGAATTTCTTTACTTTTTCCTTTTTTTTCCTTTTTTATTTACTTAAAAATTCTCAAAAAGCACTTAAAACGATGGAAAAAAAAGCGGAAAATTCGTTGAATTTTTTTATTTTTTTTTTTTTATTTAAATTAGCTTTTTTAGAAAGAAGAAATGATAAACAAAAAGGCAAATTTGAGAAATTTTAAATTTTTTTGATAAAAATTACAATTTTAAAGTTATAAAAGAAAAGTTGAAAATTTAAAAACTAAGTTTTTTGCTGAAAATTATTGGAAAATCTCTTGTGACTTCCAGATAAAATAAAAATTACTTTAGAAAAACGAAATCTTAAAGAAAATAAAAAGATTTTCCTTTTCAAACCTTTTCACAATCAACCCAATTTCTGTTTCTATCTGATCGCCCCAATTTCAATGTCATTACGCCTTGTGCCTTCCAGATTGAGCTAATCGAATGGAAACTAGCGGACAGATTACGGTAGTTTTCTAAAACACACCTATTCCAGAAAACTATCGTAACCGACATCACCAGTTTCTATCCGATCGCCCTAATTTTAATGTTGCTAAGCCTTGTGCATTCCAGATTGAGCTAATCAAATGAAAAACTGACTGGTTGATGTGAGACTTTTTCTAAAACACATCTATTCCAGAAAACTATCGTAACCGACACCAACAGTTTCTATCCGATCGCCCTAATTTCAATGCCATTAAGCCTTGTGCATTATACCATCGGGTGTCTCGAAAAGCTATTTACCCCTCGAAATACACCTCCCATATGTAGAATTGCAATAGTTCTCGGGCCAGACAGCCTTCATCCAGGTGGACCGAACGGTCCGGGCCCAGACAGCCTTCATCCACCAGTGGACCGAACGGTCCGGGCCCAGACGGCCTTCACCCAGGTGGACCGAACGGTCCGGGCCCAGACAGCCTTCATCCACCAGTGGACCGAACGGTCCGGGCCCAGACGGCCTTCACCCAGGTGGACCGAACGGTCCGGGCCCAGACGGCCTTCATCCAGGTGGACCGAACGGTCCGGGCCCAGACAGCCTTCATCCACCAGTGGACCGAACGGTCCGGGCCCAGACGGCCTTCACCCAGGTGGACCGAACGGTCCGGGCCCAGACGGCCTTCATCCAGGTGGACCGAACGGTCCGGGCCCAGACGGCCTTCACCCAGGTGGACCGAACGGTCCGGGCCCAGACGGCCTTCATCCAGGTGGACCGAACGGTCCGGGCCCAGACGGCCTTCACCCAGGTGGACCGAACGGTCCGGGCCCAGACAGCCTTCATCCACCAGTGGACCGAACGGTCCGGGCCCAGACGGCCTTCACCCAGGTGGACCGAACGGTCCGGGCCCAGACGGCCTTCATCCAGGTGGACCGAACGGTCCGGGCCCAGACAGCCTTCATCCACCAGTGGACCGAACGGTCCGGGCCCAGACGGCCTTCACCCAGGTGGACCGAACGGTCCGGGCCCAGACGGCCTTCATCCAGGTGGACCGAACGGTCCGGGCCCAGACGGCCTTCACCCAGGTGGACCGAACGGTCCGGGCCCAGACGGCCTTCATCCAGGTGGACCGAACGGTCCGGGCCCAGACGGCCTTCACCCAGGTGGACCGAACGGTCCGGGCCCAGACAGCCTTCATCCACCAGTGGACCGAACGGTCCGGGCCCAGACGGCCTTCACCCAGGTGGACCGAACGGTCCGGGCCCAGACGGCCTTCATCCAGGTGGACCGAACGGTCCGGGCCCAGACAGCCTTCATCCACCAGTGGACCGAACGGTCCGGGCCCAGACGGCCTTCACCCAGGTGGACCGAACGGTCCGGGCCCAGACAGCCTTCATCCACCAGTGGACCGAACGGTCCGGGCCCAGACGGCCTTCACCCAGGTGGACCGAACGGTCCGGGCCCAGACGGCCTTCATCCAGGTGGACCGAACGGTCCGGGCCCAGACGGCCTTCACCCAGGTGGACCGAACGGTCCGGGCCCAGACGGCCTTCATCCAGGTGGACCGAACGGTCCGGGCCCAGACGGCCTTCACCCAGGTGGACCGAACGGTCCGGGCCCAGACGGCCTTCATCCAGGTGGACCGAACGGTCCGGGCCCAGACGGCCTTCACCCAGGTGGACCGAACGGTCCGGGCCCAGACGGCCTTCATCCAGGTGGACCGAACGGTCCGGGCCCAGACGGCCTTCACCCAGGTGGACCGAACGGTCCGGGCCCAGACAGCCTTCATCCACCAGTCGACCGAATCCTTCCGAACGTGTTAAAGTCATAAAGAAAAGTTGAAAATTTAAAACCTGAATTTTTTGCTGAAAATTATTGGAGAATCTCTTGTGACTTCCAGATAAAATAAAAATTATTTTAGAAAAACGAAATCTCAAAGAAAATCAAAAGATTTTCCGTTCCACACCTTTTCACAATCTTTTCTTTTCACAATATCGAAATTTAGCTGAATATCGAAACTTTTTCAACAATATGAGCAAACTAGAGGAATGGCTTTTTAAAATAAACAAATACGATCGAGGAATTGCGCCGATTTACACCATAAAAAGTGAGTTTTCGAAAAAAAATTCCTCTAGAAAGTGAGCGTAAACTTGTAGCCGTATAAAAATCGATTCGTGCTTACGCTAGCAACGAAAAACTTTCTGATTCCTCAAAGCTGGAACGCACGAAACCAAATTCAAGCGGAGATTTGAGTCATTTTTACCAAAATTCTTATCAAGATCATCAAAATCAAGTTCTCATCAAAAACAGGAAACTTTTCATTGTGTTAAGCCTTAAATTGACTTGGTATCGCTAAGCTGGAATGCACTGTACAAGAAGCAGTGATTAGAAAACGGTTTATCAAATTTTAAAATTTTCGGGTTACTGTAGAAATGGCACTATATAGTTTTTCATTCCAAGACATTTCCAGGTAATTCAACCGAAATCCCTCGTTTCAATGTGCACGCTCGGCTCAATTTCTTTCATATCATTGGCCTGGTAATAGTTTTTTATTTAAAAATGGACTTTTTCAGTGCTAATGGTTGAGGGTACTGTAACTAGTACTGTCGGAAAGTTTGTTTTCTTCAAATCAAAATTCTGACTTAACCAGAGGATAGTGTGACAGCCAGATAAGAAAGCCTGCAGTCAATAAAATAGATTAGTTGCTTTGAAAAAAGACTTTAGGGAGGGTACTGTAACTAGTACTGTAGGCAAGTTCCCGTTACTTCAAATCATCAATCTAATCTAGTCATAGCATAGTGTGACATCCAGATAAGACAATCTGCTTAAAATAAAATAGATTAGTTGCTTTGAAAAAAGACTTTAGGGAGGGTACTGTAACGAGTACTGTAGGTGTGTTGTGTTTTCTTCAAATCAAAAGTTTTTCCTAAGCAGAGCATAGTGTGACATCCAGATAAGAATATCTGCTTAAAAGAAAATAGAATAGTTGTGTTGAAAAAAGACTTTAGGGAGGGTACTGTAGTAGGTACTGTATGCAAGTTTCCATTTCCTTCAAATCAGAAAGCTGATCAGAAAGAAATTTCGGTGTTTTTATGTCGTTTTGGAGGTGATAAGCTTGTTTTTTTGTTCAATAAAAATCATCTATTCTTTCACCAATCACATTCAGTGGTGCAGAGTATGGTCGCGTATCTGTTTAAAGCGGTTTAAAGCTTTTTAAAGCATGCTCCAAGCTACCGTACCACTCAGTGCATCGTGGGACAAAGCTCGATATTTTTATCTGCAAGATCATGAGTGTTTTACATTTTAGAATTCTAGTGTGCTCTCCAGATCAACGAAAAATATAACAAAATTTGCATTTTTATGATAAAATGGCCAGTTTAAGGCCTTGAACTCGATCCAGGGTACGGTAGTTTATCCACCAAGGAGCACGCTTTAGAAAACAGTACCTATGAGGGTACAGTAATCCGTTAATTGAATGCCGTGCGCTCCAGTTCGACAAAAAATTTGCAAATAGTTGCATTTTATGATAAAATTGACGGTTTAAGGCCTTGAACTCGATTCGGGGTACGGTAGAATGCAAGATGATCAGTTTTCTTTAGTTTATCATTTTAGAACTCTAGTGTGCTCTCCAGATCAACGAAAAATATAACAAAATTTGCATTTTTATGATGAAATTGACAGTTTAAGGTCTTGAACTCGGTTCGGGGTACGGTAGGATGCAAAATGATCAGCTTTCTTTAGTTTTTCATTTTAGAACTCTAGTGTGCTCTCCAGATCAACGAAAAATATAACAAAATTTGCATTTTTATGATGAAATTGACAGTTTAAGGTCTTGAACTCGGTTCGGGGTACGGTAGGATGCAAAATGATCAGCTTTCTTTAGTTTTTCATTTTAGAACTCTAGTGTGCTCTCCAGATCAACGAAAAATATGAAAATCGTTGCCTTTTTATGATAAGATTAACAGTTTAAAGCCTTGTACTCGATTCAGGGTACGGTAGTTTATCCACCAAGGTGCACGCTTTAGAAAACGGTTTTCACGGAACAGTTCCGAGGTGTAGAAATGCTTAGGAACTTCTGTTTTTGTCTTTTGCTCATTTATTTATTTAATTTAGGTTAAACATCAAAAATTAGAGAGGAAAAAACCAGGAAATGGGGGAAAAAGGGAAAAAAAGAAAAAAAGTAACCCAATCCTCAGCCAAAATTCGAGTTGAACTTTAAAAAGAGAATAATTTCGCGGAAACGAAAAGCGCCTACGCTAAAAATTGAATCATTTTTGCGATGTGGCTTCTTTTTATTTTATTCCTATCGTACTCTTTCGCTCAAGATTCACCGTTAAACGTCGCGAATATTACAGGTTTTTTTGGGCGTTTTTTTGGGCGCTTTTTAGCCGTTTTTTAGCCGTTTTTTAGGCGTTTTTTTAGGCGTTTTTTAAGCGCTTTTTAGCCGTTTTTTAGCCGTTTTTTAAACTCTTTAATGCGCTAAGATTTTCGTTTAGATCAATACAAAAGCTATGTGTGGAATTCGCAAAAATTATACGATTTTCTCTTCACCAACTACAGCCGCCAATTGTCGCCGATTAAAACGACGAGTGCAAGACCGGAAAATCGTTGGTTTACGTGTAGTGACATCCAGAATGATGAAAAATTTGAAAATATTTCAATTTTGAAAAACTAGAGACGATTCTAAGCCTTGTACTCTTTCGGGGGCACGGTATTTTTTCAATCCTCGTGCATCTTTTAGCAAACAGCCGGGAAATGTGTAGTGACATCCAGATTGATGAAAAATCAGAAAATATTTCATTTCGACAATGCTGGGGAAGATTTAGAGTCCTGTACTCTTTTGGGGGTACGGTATTTTTTGAATCCTAGTGCACCTTTTAGCAAACAACCAGGAAATGTGTAGTGACATCCAGATTGATGAAAAATTTGAAAATATTTGGTTTTTGAAAAGTTAGAGACGATTTTAAGTCTTGTACTCTTTCGGGGGTACGGTAGTTCGTTCATCAATCCTAGTGCACTTTTTAGCAAACAACCAGGAAATGTGTAGTGACATCCAGATTGAAGGAAAATTTAAAATTTAAAGTTTAGTGTCTTTGGACGAGCGGTTTAACGTCAACATTGAGCTCTACTTCGTGAAATTGATTGATGTGGTTGGTGAATGGTTTTTGGTTAAAATGAGATTATTCAGGTTGAAGAGCTCGAGAAGTTCAACACCCTATCCGAGATAAAAATGGTAAGTGGCCATTATAAAAATGGCCTTATGGCATGGCATACTGAATTCTTCATTTTTGAAAATGTAGAATTGAGTGCACTAGAATGGGTGAGTTTCCATTAGCACAAAGTACACCTGAAACTTATCCATTAGATAGTGTGCCTTCCAGAATGCAAAATTTGTTAGATAAGTATAGTAAAAGAAATCATAATAGCGGTGTTTTCTTAGAGAACTCCTTCGTGCACTAGAAAGGTTGCGTTTTCCCGAGAGCAAAGTGCATCCAAAACCTGTACATTGCATAGTGTGCCTTCCAGAATGCAAACTTTGTGAGATAACTATAGTAAAAGTCGCCATTCTAGCGATGATTTCTTAGCGAACTCCTTCGTGGACTAGAAAGGGTGTGTTTCCATTAGCACAAAGTACACCTGAAACTTAGCCATTATATAGTGTGACTTCCAGGATACAAACTTTGTTAAATAAGTATAGTAAAAGTAGTTATGGTAGCGATGATTTCTTATAGAACTCCGTCGTGCACTAGAAAGGGTGCGTTTTCCCGAGAGCAAAGTACACCTGAAATTTCTCCTATAGATAGTGTGACTTCCAGGAGGCAAACTTTGTTCGATAAGTATAATCAAACTAGTCATAATAGCGGTGTTTTCTTAGAGAACTCCTTCGTGCACTAGAAAGGGTGTGTTTCCATTAGCACAAAGTATACCTAAAACTTACCCATTATATAGTGTGCCTTCCAGGATGCAAACTTTGTTAACTAAGTATAGTAAAAGAAATCATAATAGCGATGATTTCTTAGAGAACTCCTTCGTGCACTAGTTTGCTTACAAAGTACATCTATTTCAGACTTGGATTGACCCAAGGCTGGCTTGGGATCCAGCAAAATTCGGTGGAATTAAGGAAATGAGAGTAAATGTGGAGACTGTTTGGCAACCCGAGAACGCTTTATCCGATACGTAAGCTGATTTCTAAGAGTTGTAAATCATCGGGTAATTGATCAAAAAACAAATAAAGTCATTTCCAGCTCTCAGGTCTACGAGATCTACGCAGATGAGGTAAAACCAGTGATTTTACGCGCAAATGGAAGCGTTTCGATTCTCCGCAAATACTATGCCGAATCGACGTGCAAAATGACGAATGTAAGGGATTTTGAGCAACTATTTCAGAGAAACTATCGTAATCGGATCAGTTTTTCATTTGATTTGCCCAATCTGGATGGCACAAGACTTAATGACATAAAAATTGAGGGAATCGGATCGAAAGTGTCGCTTCGACTACGGTAGTTTTGACGCTACCGTAACCGACATCGCCAGTTTTGATCCGATCGTCTCAATTTTAATTCCATTAAGCCTTGTGTATTCCAGATTGAGCTAATCAAATGGAAAACTGTCTGGCTCCTGTGAGACTTTTTCGAAAACACACCTATTCCAGAAAACTACCGTAACCGACACAGCCAGTTTCTATCAGTTCGCTCTAATTTCAATGCCATTGAGCCTTGTGCATTCCAGATTGAGCTAATTGAATGAAAACTGGCGGCCAGTTTACAGTAGTTTTCTAAAACACACCTGTTCCAAAAATCTACCGTAACCGACATCGCCAGTTTTGATCCGATCGTCCCAATTTCAATGTCATTAAGCCTTGTGTGTCCCAGATTGGACTAATTGAATGAAAACTGGCGGCCAGATTCCGGTAGTTTTCTAAAACACACCTATTCTAAAAATCTACCGTAACCGACACCACCAGTTTCTATCTGATCACCCTAATTTCAATGCCATTAAGCCTTGTGCATTCCAGATTGGACTAATCAAATGAAAAACTGGTTGATTGATTGCGGTAGTTTATCTGAAATAGGTGTCTTTTAGAAAACGGTTTTGCTAAACTGAACCCACTCGTCTGATCTTGTTTGCCAAATGATTTCTAGTGGAGTATACTGTCATTTGACGTTTCAACGTTTCTAGATCGGTGATTTCCCTTTTGATCACGAGATTTGCAGCCTTTATTTCATGGTTTATTCGTACAATTATTGGGATGTCTCGATGAGTCTCTCGATTCCCGAAAAAAAGATTTATTTAATAGCGGTGAGTGTCAAAAATTTGTAGTGACATCCAGATTAAGGGAAAATTTGAAAACATTTGATTTTTATAAAGTTTAAAGGAATCTAGAGCTTTGTACTCGTTTCAGGGTACTGTAGAAAATCCATTTTATAGAAAGACCACTTTTTAGACGTTAAACAATGTAGAGAAGGTTTAATTAGCAAAACGAAATTTATTTAGGGAAATGGTGAATGGTCTATTTCGCGGATTACTTCACAAATCGACTTCTACAACACCACATCCTACGCGTATGCCTTTGATTCGGTAATCAAGAGCGATCAAGAGCAAATTGAAAAACAAAACTATTTAAAACTTCTAATCTGGAACGCAAAAAATGCATCTAAACTTTTCCAGAAGAAATTTGCATTCAAGTAAATCCGGTAGAAGAGTCGAGTTGAAGTCTGAAAGAAATTTGCGTACTTGAAGCTTAAACAAGAATAATTTCTAAGAAAATCTTCTAATCTGGAACTCACACAATGCATCTAAACCGTTCTAGAACCAATTTGCATTCAAGTAAATCCGGTAGAACCATCGAGTTGAATTCTCAAGGAAATTTGCATATTCGTAGCTTCAACAAGAATAATTTCTAAGAAAATCTTCTAATCTGGAACTCACACAATGCATCGAAACCAAATTTCCAGAAGAAATCTACATTTAAAACCTGCTAGAATCGTCGAATTGAAGTCTAAAAGAAATTTGCGTACTTGAAGCTTAAACAAGAATAATTTCTAAGAAAATCTTCTAATCTGGAACTCACACAATGCATCTAAACCAAATTTCCAGAAGAAATCTACATTTAAAACCTGCTAGAATCGTCGAATTGAAGTCTAAAAGAAATTTGCGTACTTGAAGCTTAAACAAGAATAATTTCTAAGAAAATCTTCTAATCTGGAACTCACACTATTTATCTAAACCGAATTTCCATAAGAAATTTGCATTTAAAACCTGCTAGAATCGTTGAATTGAAGTCTCAAAGAGATTTGCATATTCGTAGCTTCAACAAGAATAATTTCTAAGAAAATCTTCTAATCTGGAACTCACACAATGCATCTAAACCAAATTTCCAGAAGAAATTAGCATTTAAAAACTGGTAGAACTATCGAGTTGAATTCTCAAGGAAATTAGCACATTCGTAGCTTAAACAAGAATAATTTCTAAGTAAATCTTCTAATCTGGATCTCACACAATGCATCTAAACCGTTCCAGAACCAATTTGCATTCAAATAAATCCGGTAGAATCGTCGAGCTGAAGTCTCAAAGAGATTTGCATATTCGTAGCTTAAACAAGAGTACTTTCTAAGAAAATCTTCTAATCTGGAACTCACACTATTTATCTAAACCAAATTTCCGTAAGAAATTTACATTTAAAATCCGATAGAACCATCGAGTTGAAGCCTCAAGGAAATTTCCATATTCGTAGCTTAAACAAGAATAATTTCTACAAAAATTTTCTCTTCTGGAACCCCCACCAAAAATCTAAACCAAATTTCCAGGGTGCTTTCAACATTTTTATGCGTCGCGAGCCACATTTCTATATTTATGTGATTGTCTTCCCGTGTTTCATTCTTTCTTTTTTATCGGTTATTGGAATGTTTTGCTCAAGGAATCGGAAAGAAGATCAATTGATTAAGGTAAACAAATCGCTAATTCTTAATCTTAAGCATTGGCTCATCCGATTTGTTTTGAGTCAACGTCAAGCCAAGAATCAGCCCAATACCAATCCCAGGGCCAGTGCCAATGCCAGGACCAGAACCAGGGCCAGGTCCAGGTCCAGGGCCAGGACCAGGACCAGGTCCAGAGCCAGGACCAGGTCCAGAGCCAGGGGCAGGGCCAGGTCCAAAACCATGATCAGGGCAAGCGTCAGACCAAGGTTAGAGTGGCTTGGAATGAAAAGAAATGGGCAATTGTTAATCTTAAGCAATCTTAATGTTGACTGATCCGGTTTGTTTTAAGTTAAAGCCAAGCCAATGATCAGTTCAAAACTAAGGGCAGGGCCAGGGTCAGTGCCAATCCCAGGGCCAGGGCCAGGATCAGTGCCAATGCCAGGGCCAGGGCCAGGTCCAGGCCAGGACCAGATCCAGAGCCAGGTCTAGGTCCAGGGCCAGGGCCAGGGTCAGTGCTAGTCCCAGGGCCAGTTCCAGGGCCAGGGTCAGGGTCAGGATCGGTGCCAATCCCAGGGCCAATGCCAGACCCAGGTCCAAAACCAATGCGAGAGCCAGAGCCAGGGCCAGGTCCAGATCCAAAACCATGACCAGGGCAAGCTTCAGAAGATTAGAGTGGCTTGGTCTAGTTAATCAGTAAAAAATCGGCTTCTAGAAGCTTCAAAAGCTTCAAAATCAGCTTCAAAACACGACTAAAATCTAGCCAACATCTTTTTCCAGCTCTCAATCGGTTTGACAAGTCTAATGTCGATAGCCGTTCTTTTGCAAATCGTTACTGATTCGATTCCGAAAAGTAAAACGTTTCCATTGCTTGGTGAGTTGATTCAGTAATCAAAAATGATCTCTCAAAAGCCTTCAGGCGTTTACGCGATTGTTTGCGTGTTCATTATCGCTTGCGGATGCGCTGTTTTGATCACAATCCCGCGATCAATCGACGAGCCGATTCTGAAAAAATACGAACAACACAGGTAGGTCAAAATTTGAAAAAAATAACAAAATAAAATGACAGACCGGAAAATCGTGGATTTACGTGTGGTGACATCCAGATCGATGAAAAATTTAAAAATATTTCAATTTTGAAAAGTCAGAGACGATTTTAAGTCTTGTACTCTTTCGAGGGTACGGTAGGTCGTTCCTCCTTGTGCACCATTTAGCAAACGATCGGAAAATGTGTAGTGACATCCAGCTTGGGGGAAAAGTTTAAAATATTCCATTTTTGAAGAGTTAGAGACGACTTTAAGCCTTGTACTCTTTCGAGGTACGGTATTTTTTCAATCCTCGTGCACCTTTTAGCAAACAACCAGGAAATGTGTAGTGACATCCAGATTGGGGGAAAAGTTAAAAATATTTCAATTTTATAACACTATTGAAGATTTAGAGTCCTGTACTCTTTCGGGGGTACGGTATTTCTTCAATCCTAGTGCACCTTTTAGCAAACGACCGGGAAATGTGTAGTGACATCCAGATCAATGAAAAATTTGAAAATATTTCATTTTGACAATGCTGGGGAAGATTTAGAGCCGTGTACTCTTTCGGGGGTTGATTGTAGCACCTCTATGCTCAGAATTGAGCCAAAAGTGCTTAAATCCGGACGAGGCTAGGGCTGAGTTGGTTGGCTTGTCCCGGAATACCCGTTCAATTTCTCTGGACTTATTATCTTTAGGTTTAAGCTGGTTTTAGCTAGTCAGAACATGGTGGGTCTGAACATTGGACAGCCTAACACCAGTTAGACTGAGACAGACAGTTAGATTGCATTGCAAATGGCAAAGGGGCGGGGCGCGTATAAAAGGTTCGTCGCCGCGCCCCATTTTCCCATTAACAATCAAACTTTAAGCTCAAATTTCTTGTCATTAAGCTGTTTAATTTCAATAATTTTCCTACAAATCAATAGAGAAATACTTGGCGCATATAAAAGGACGGACGAGGCGCGTATAAAAGCTCTCAAAGTGGCCCCGCCCCTTTTTCCCATTGGCAAAGTTTGAGCTGAAATTTCTCGGTGTTGAGCTGTTCAATTGAAATCGTTTTACTACCAATCGATAGAGAAAGACTTGGCGAATCTAATGGTACCAAGAACATTTAAATCGGACAGCCCAACACCGAGATATTTGAGCTTAAAGTTGGATTGTTAATGGGAAAATTGCTAATGTCCGATAACCTAAAGAAACATGTTTTTCTTTTCAGCTCCACTATCCTCCATCATCTCCATCGTCTCTCCAAGCCACACATCATTTGGCATCTCTTTTTCCAGGCGGCAAATCTTATAAATTTGATTATATTCTTCTCGTATTGGTGACTGAATATTCATTAAATTTTCTCATTTTCTTTTCTCAAATAAAAAATCACAATTAAACTTTGTTGTGACTTCCAGAATCACCAAAAATATCGACTAAATTGAAATGCGATAATTTTAAGCAAACTTTTCCACCATCCAGTCCTACATGCCTCTTGTACTAGTTTCAGTTACAGTAAAAAGGTTCCATTTTCATGCTTAAACTTTGTTGTGACTTCCAGAATCATCAAAAATATTGACTAAATGGCGATACGATAATTTTAAGCAAACCTTTTCAAGCAAAGTCTTATGCTAGTTACAGTAAACAGGTCAAAAGGTTCAGTTACAATGAAAAGGTTCCAAATTTGGGCTTAATCTTTCTTGTGACTTCCAGAATCACCAAAAATATCGACTAAATGGCGATTCGATAATTCTAAACAAACTTTTCCACCACCAACTCCTACATGAGTCTCAATTTTGACTTTTTCAGTCTAAAAGGTCAAAATTTTCAGCTTAATCTTTGCTGTGCGTTCCAGAATAGCGAAAAAATCATAAAAGAACAGAAACTAGATGATTCTATAGGGGAAAAGTCGGGGGTGAGCAAACTTTGGAATTTGAGATATTTGGGGAAAGGAAGAGTTGATTCGAAAACATTTCCCCAATTGGGTGCGCACTCAAAAAAGGTAATGGTTGAAGGTTTTTCTCTTAAACTCCTTAATATCTATTCTTTTTTCTTTATTTTAAAATCTCTACAAAGCGAACGTTTACATTTGGAAAACTCGAATATTACAGGTTTTAAAAATCGCAATTTTTTTTTTATTAAATTCAAATTTCAGACAATTATGCAAATTTTCTAATCAATTCCGATCGATTATTTCAATTTTTGTTTATTGCAAATAATTATACAAAGGAATTATCACCGATTTATGTTAGAGGCTCGAAAGGTCAGTTCGAAGAGATTGAGGAATGGTTGAGGAATGGTTGAGAAGAGACAGGTTGAGGAATGGTTGAGGAATGGTTGAGGAATGGTTGAGGAATGGTTGAGGAATGGTTGAGGAATGGTTGAGGAATGGTTGAGGAATGGTTGAGGAATGGTTGAGGAATGGTTGAGGAATGGTTGAGGAATGGTTGAGGAATGGTTGAGGAATGGTTGAGGAATGGTTGAGGAATGGTTGAGGAATGGTTGAGGAATGGTTGAGGAATGGTTGAGGAATGGTTGAGGAATGGTTGAGGAATGGTTGAGGAATGGTTGAGGAATGGTTGAGGAATGGTTGAGGAATGGTTGAGGAATGGTTGAGGGAATGGTTGAGGAATGGTTGAGGAATGGTTGAGGAATGGTTGAGGGAATGGTTGAGGAATGGTTGAGGGAATGGTTGAGGAATGGTTGAGGAATGGTTGAGGAATGGTTGAGGAATGGTTGAGGAATGGTTGAGGAATGGTTGAGGAATGGTTGAGGAATGGTTGAGGAATGGTTGAGGAATGGTTGAGGAATGGTTGAGGAATGGTTGAGGAATGGTTGAGGAATGGTTGAGGAATGGTTGAGGAATGGTTGAGGAATGGTTGAGGAATGGTTGAGGAATGGTTGAGGGAATGGTTGAGGAATGGTTGAGGAATGGTTGAGGAATGGTTGAGGAATGGTTGAGGAATGGTTGAGGGAATGGTTGAGAGGAATGGTTGAGGAATGGTTGAGGAATGGTTGAGGAATGGTTGAGGATGGTTGAGGAATGGTTGAGGAATGGTTGAGGAATGGTTGAGGAATGGTTGAGGAATGGTTGAGGAATGGTTGAGGAAAGGTTGAGGAATGGTTGAGGAAAGGTTGAGGGAATGGTTGAGGAATGGTTGAGGAATGGTTGAGGGAATG